AACCCAGTTTTATTTTCAGAGGTGCAAAAACTTTTAAGCAAATTTTAACTAAGAGTTTTGTATAATCAGAAATCCCAAGGAATTTCCTGACGAATTGATCACAGGAACAAAAAGGGTTTTATCACTGTGGAATGTGCAATGCGTGCTGTAATACGAATAAAAACAATTTATTCGTATTACAATTAATTCATTTGTCACAAAAAAAGCTATACAGTCAAATCATTTATAACTTGCCATTCCCATAATGTAATTTATTTCAAATTCACCTGTGGACTCCAAAATATTGGGACAACGTCCAGACCAATTAAAGTTAGGATTAGTGAACATGTCAGGAATATTAAGAAGGGATTTTTAAAACGTAGTGTATCTAGGCATTTTTTAGAAAAACATATGTCTGATCCGAAACAACTAGAATTTTATGCAATTGAAAAGGTGAATATACATTGGAGAGGAGGAGATGCTGCTAAAAATTGCATCCAGGAGACCAAATGGATATTTGAACTAACGGTACGTACTTTAGGTCCAAAAGGTCTTAATATTGACTTTGAGATCAATTCAATTTTATAAAGACATAAAATACTTCTTCTAAGTTCTTATGAAAAATGCACCTTTTATATATATATCATATATTTTAGATTGGTATCCATTTATAAATATTTTATAAAAGTATAATCAGTATGTTTTAGGTGAATCGTATTTATATGTTATTAGAACATTTTTTTAAATTAATTATGAACCCTTAAAGAGTCTTTTGAGATACTTAAAAACACTTTCTTCTATTCTCTGAACTTTTAATTAAATATCTGTATTTTTTCTTTTAATATGTTTTATGGACTGCTGCCCTCTTTAAAAATGGTGCCTGAGGTTCGGATGCACTTTTTAGTACACTTCCTGCACTGAGAGATGAGGGGTGAATGGATTCCCCCTCAATAAAGGCGGAAGAATTTCATCGGCAGAAGGACTACGAAATGACGCAACGGCCTCTCTGAACAGCTGCGTTATAAAATACAGAAGATTGAAACACTCACAAGATCCGCAAGTTTGGCAGCCATGTTGGGAGGGGTATGTACTATGTCCGTGAACCGGATACCTTGCCATATTGGATGTGGCAAGTTGTATCCGGTCAGGACCATATTTGGCAATGGGAGGGTTTTCTTTTAATATGTACACATGTGCTATTCATTTCATGTTTGGGGGGTATAAGTGATGCCTATAGGCATTTGTAAATGTACCCTCACCTGAGGAAGACACATTTGTGGGGTTGAAATGCGTTGTGCTAATATTTCATAATATTGACGTTTCCATTTTTGGATGGCGTGACCCATTTTGTCACTGACACACCCCTACAGGCCTGACCTCCCCCACCCCAATTCCAGTTTCAAATAATTTTGGAAGGTATGCATTAATATAAAATGTGTTTGTGGTGGTTGGAGGGTGGGGTAGTTGTGAATTTTACTTTCTGATTCACAAAACTGAGCCATGCAGTTCATTGTAAAAAGGGCAAGTCCTAAAAGCCATTTAAGTGAATTGTGGAACAGAGATTAATCTTTACTACATAGCAATATAATTTCAGGAGAGACATATACATCTGTCAATATAATGAACCATTATGGACTGCAGATTATGAAAATAAATCTATCTCAATATGACTAATACATGATTGGTCATTAAGAGTTAAATTATTATAAATCTATATGACTGATATTTGATTGTTTATTTTTTGTTTTATATAAGTATTTTTTATTGTATTTCCGTATAAAAAGACATTAGCAGTCAGAGGTATCGACATTAACAACAATGATTCATAGTTTTACCAAACAATTTAATTTTCGTTCAACATTCTGATAATCACATGACATAAATAAATACATACAACAACAGCAAATTGGCAATATACAGACTTCACTATGTACGTCTATCTAGAATAGGAGTAGACTATAAAACTACGGTTTCTCCGATCTCTCAAAACAATGGAGATTACTGTAGTTAACATTAGCTTGTGCTTCGCATTACCATAAAACATACAAAAAATCAAAATACATAAAAATAAGATATAGAAAGCACAACATGGGTAAAATGTACCTTACATACTATTTAGCGAGGGAGGGGGACTGTATTTGATTGCTTTTTAAGGGTTAAATTAAGTTAGAACTGGGGTGTATTTTTATACATATAATATATTTATTAAACCTGTAACATCTTATAAAAACATAAATTTCCTCTGACTCACTTATACAAAGTGCATAATAAAACCTTAATAATATTCATATCTTTGCATAAATATAGTCATATATAGAAATCAACCCATCTGTTGCATTTACTTGGAATATGTAAGTTGTGATTCATAGATGAGTAAGCATACAGATCTGAAGCAGAGGGGTATTGTAGGCGATGGTTGTGGTATTCGCAATAGGGAAGTGGGAAGGCAGATCTAATACCAAGATATAAAACAGCTGTTATACAAATCCTTCTCTGACTACTGCCCAAAAGATTTTTCCCCGTCACTTCCCATAAGAGAAGGAAGGTTTATGAATAATTCATTAAAGTCTACTTCAATCAATTTTTAAAAAATATATATATATTTTAATGCCAATGCTAGCTGATACTAAAATTTTTTTTTTTTTTTAAAAAAAGAAACTGATGTTACATATAAATCTGGCCAAGTTAATTTTGAGTACACATAGATTTTTTTAGTTCAATAAAGCACACAAAAGGTATTTTTCCCCTCAATATCGAATCATAACAAAATTCTTTATTTACACTGTTATCCTACTTAACTCCTTCACTACCAAGTGATTTGCAAATAATAAGGAAGAAATAAATTTTTCGATTGTACCTAAACTTTTCCTTTTTGACAAAACTTGCTTACAGCAAGAAAAGAGAATAAAATGTGTTACAGAATAATTACATTATCGATTTAAAATAAATATTTGAAAAGTTTTTTTTAACATGTCGACATTTCTTTGTTCTCCGAATCTATGATATAGTCCGAGTAGACATTTCTTACATATATACCATAATTCTCCTGTATGATCTAGAAACCTTTGAGCAGTAATTACCAGATTTTACTAATTACATGACGTAAAGTCATGATTTTATTAAGGACACCGAGGCTCATATAATGCTTATCTCTTTCTTTATTCCCCAGCAGCAAAGATTAATATTAAGATATTTATAGAAAAAAAACAAATAAAGTACCCTCAAGGATTAACATCTTAGCCAATGAGAGCAGTCCACATTACATTTACTCCCATCTGACCCTAAGTCACTCCTCTTTCCTGGTGATGCCAAAGCTAATGGTCAACGAAAAGAACTGAAAACAAAAAGAACTGAATTAACACAACCAGACAGTCGAACATCTGTTGTCTGTGAGGCGACATCTTCCGAGGAAACAGATCTTTGTGAAGACATTCATGGAAGGAATCGGTCCTGATGAGAGCCATCGTAAAAGCTTCATGCTGTAATGAACAGAGAGAACAAGTGGTAAAATATGCTCTAATAGAATATCACCCATGTTAGAATAGAAATGACTAAACTATAAAATATAATTCACTTATGTTTGGGTAAGCATAGCAGTTAACTATTCCATGAACAAACTATTACCCAAATAGCAAAACACTCCAGGCATTTAAAATCCATACCAATAATGCACATAGAGTTGGGAAAAAAACAAAGACATACCTGTATCGGGCGGGCTAATATTCGCCTCCATGTCCTTAATAAAATCATGACTGTACGCAGTGGTGGATCCGGGGGGGGGGGCAATTGCAGGACTGGCATTGTTGGGAAAAAAACAAAGACATACCTGTATCGGGCAGGCTAATATTCGCCTCCATGTCCTTAATAAAATCATGACTATATGCAGTGGCGGATCCGGGGGGAGGGGCAATTGTCCCCCCCCCGCCCCCGACATTCTCCACTGCCAGCTAACGCAGGGCTGGCATTGTCCAAGTGCCAGCCTTGCATGTGCCTGCAGACCGGAGAGAGAGATCAGAGATCTCCCTCCCCGGTCCGCAGGCACATTGCTGGCAGCCGGCAGGGGAGGGAAAGAGGACCTGGGAGTTCAGCCTGCAGCTCCTCCGGGTCCTACTCTTGCTCAAAAACCTGGGGGTGAAAACTGGAACGTCGTAGATCACGCCCTTTGCCTTCAGGGTGTGGATTTCCTGCAATACTAGGCTTTATTTTTGTGGGGAATAAACAATCTGGTGCAGCATGGACGTTTGGGCTTGGTGCAGCACAAACTTGATCTGATAATAGAACACAAACATCTGAGGTTAACCTGTGCCAAGCATCAAAAAAATTTAACATTCTGCCCCCACATATGACATACAAGGGAGAGGGGATGGTAGAAGACTCACCATAAGGCCGTCGGCCATAGGAGGTTCCCCTGGTCCCTCGGGACTGCCAAGATCTGCCTCTGACTGGGAAGAAAGGCGAAGGTGACTTGGTGTCTGTAGACTGGAATCGATTTGTGGCTGAGTCTCAGTAGGAACCCCAGGAGGAACGGCCAGCCAGACAGCCCCGATGTCTGCCGGCACCGCCAAAAACCTTCTGAGAGAACACTCTATTCATCTTTGATTGTGCCTTGTCCAGTGCCATGAAGGTACTGACATAGTTGCTCAGTTCCCGAATAGGAGACCTTTTGCCTGTGGTCCAGGCTCAGATATTGCCAGATCGATGAGCTTCGGCTTAATTTTTACGAGGATGGCTTTGCGCCTCTCAGTGGCCAACGCTGTGTTAGCATTGCCTAACAGACAAATGGATCACTGGACCAATCCCCTGATGGCCAGTAAATCTACTGGTGCACCTACGGTTAAGCCCGCTTCGACCATACTAGAACCCAAAACATCTAGCACCTTGTCTTGACAGTGACGTAGGGAATAATCAAGCCCTTTTTTGGCCTTCCAGACAGAAACTGGGCGACCTTGGGGTCTACGTCTGGTGTGACACAGGCCATGTCAGGGACCATAGGGCATGGGCAGTCCACCCTAAGCTTATTTCTAGTGGTTCTCTAGGAGTTCTCTAATCCTAGCCGCAATATACTTGGCCACATGGTCAGTGTGGTACCACTCAGCTGACCTTGGGTTTTGCAGGGAATTGGGGTTAAACAGGGCTTCTCCCTCCGGGTCAAGGATAGCAGAGTCAGAAACCTCCTCAGATTCCGACCCAGAGTCAGAAGAATCAGTCAGGGACTTTGCCCTCTTCCATGTCTGCACCATTTTTGCCCGATGGGTGGCTCTTTTACGTAGGGGCACCACGTCATCAATGGTAACAGGACGCAACCTGTCTGTATGTACAGATTTGGAGGTGTGTTTGACCATATAGTGGGTCTTTTTTGTAGCCTTAGGGAGTGTCAAGCCAGAAGCATATTTGGATGCCAAGATAGCATTTGAAATGGAGTGGGACAAGTTGTCCAACATAGCTCCCATAGCTGCGTATATGGTCTAGGTGACCGATTTGGTCATAGTGGCGTCAAGGAGCGAGTGAAACTTCTCAGAGTTCATCTGCTCCAGTGACGCTTCGTCCTCCCATTGATGGGCAGGGGGTCTAATTGTTATAGGCAGGTGACACTGGTGAAATCAGTCATAGAAAAAAGGATGGGGCTGGGAGCAGGGGAGCTGACAAGCACAATATTACACAGGGTAATGCACAACAAAACTATTCTAGGCTAGCTTACCAAGTGTTCCCTCAGGAATAGCCTCTGGGAAGCACTGGTGAGTTGCCCAACTACACAGGAAGCCAATCAGCTCGCCTGCCCCCAAACGAGTCTGAGAAAAAGCGCTGCAAACTTTGCCACACGCAAGATGGCAGCGGTTTAAGCCGCAAACCTGAGGGCCAACAGATAGACGTGCCCTGAAGCAGGAGGGAGACCTCAGAACATCGAGGTCGCCAAGTAAAACAACAAAAATGGGTAATAAACAACCCAAAGGGATGGAGGGGTAAGGGTAGCCGCAGGGAGTTGGGGGGGGGGGGAACCCTGTGAGGGAAAAGGAAACAATTGAGGGGGACAATAACAGATGGCCCTGCTCCAAATGCTCGAATGAAAACCAGATATCAGAAGAAATAACAAGAAATAACAAGAAACCGCTAGTAACAAGAAAAGTAAGAGCAAAACACTGAAACAATATTGACAGAGCAAAACATTTATAGTACTTAGCTGAGGCAGCAGCAAAGAAAGAGGAGTGGCTTAGGGTCACATGGGAGTCTATGGAATGTGGACTGCTCTCATTGGCTAAGATGTTATTTGGTTAACCCTTGAGGGTACTTGTTTTGTTTTTTTCTATAAATATCTTAAAATCCTTTCTTTGCTGCTGAGGAATAAAGAAAGAGATAAGCATAATATTAGCCTCCGTGTACTTTAATAAAATCAAGAACCTTACTGATGTCACATTGCACCCATATTACTTCCGTATTTATGTCACATTGCCCATTTTGATGGTACATTGTGCTCAAATTTTTTAATCTTATGTTCGCTGTCACCTTTAGTTTTCTGGCATTGTGCATTGTAGACCAGTTATGTTATTTTCTTAATCTTACAAATACAAATGTAAAAGAACACAGAGCATCACATGATAAAAAAATGTGAACACAATTTATAGGTGATTTCCAGTGTTTGATTCGATGGTGTAATTTCTACATAAGTGCCAGTTCGCTTTTAAGGAGTAGCACTTCTTTAGAAGTGAATAAGTGTGACAAACGCTCCTTACCCTGGATATTTGCCACGCACACTTGGAGATGTGTGGAAGCTAAAGAGAAACTCGGGAAATGGAGCGAGCTAGCACCCGGGTAGCATCCCCATATGAAGAGTGGAGTCCACAAGGCACACTGGCCCAGGAGTATGGCCCTATTTCAGCCGAGGAGGAAGTGGACTGGAGAGATGAGATACGGAGAGATCTCTGGCAAAAGGCCCTAGAGCAGACTCAGGTTCCAGGGGGAGAGAGCCTTCCCAGTTCAGAACAGCGCTGATAGAAGCAAGCAGTGTTGAGGCTGTCTTTACTGGAGGATCCGCCTTCAAAAGAGCCTTCCCCGTTCAGAACAGCGCAGATAGAAGCAAGCAGTGCTGAGGCTGCCTTTACTGGAGGATCCGCCTTTTGAAAGAGTGGATCATAGAACTCCAGCATCTGATCAAGAAGGAACTGTGGCTGGATGAGGCATACCGGGTGCTACGGTGGTACTCAGTCCAAAGGTGCCCATGGATGGCAGAGAACGAAAGACCAGAGGGTGATGACTATTATTTCCCTGGTCTACTATGGGAGGCATTAGAGTAGGAAAGTGACTTCGGCAGCACGGAGGAGTCTCGGTATTGGGACATCCGGGAATACTGCCTGGATGCACTGGAGCTCCCTAATACTATGGGCCTAGGGCCAGATATCACCCGTCTGGTCGCTATAGAATGGGAGCTGGAGCAGTAATACCAGTACCTACGGGAATCGTAGAAATGAGCTGGGTAACTACGGGAGAGGAGATGATTGGTCCCTCTCCCCAGTGGCAGTGTATCAGGCAGGGAGAGGAGACAACCGGTCTCTCTCCCCAGCAGCAGACGGAGTTACAGGGGAGGAGATTTTTGGTCCCTTTCACCAGCAGCAGCAAGCATCACAGGGAGTGAAGACAGTCAGTCTCACTCTCCAGCGGCAGCCAGGGGTACAGGGAGAGGAAATTTTCGGTCCTTCTCCCCAACAGCAGCAGGAGTTACAGGCAGTAGAGATAGTTGGTCTCACTCCCCAGCGGCAGTATGAGGTAAAGGCAGAAGAGACAGTCAGTCTCTCTCCCCAGCAGCAGACGGAGTTACAGGGAGAGGAGATTTTCGGTCCCTCTCCCCAGCAGCAGCAAGCATCACTGGGAGAGGAGATAGTCAGTCTCACTCCCCAGTGGCAGTGTCCCAGCAGCAGTGTACCATGCAGGGAGAAAAGACAACCGATCTCTCTCCCCAGCGGCAGCCATAGTTATACGGCGGGGAGATTTTCGGTCCCTCTCCCCAGCAGTGGCAGATTGTGTTACCGGAAGCGGATACAATCAGTCTCCCTCTCCAGCGGCAGAGTGCAACCCCAGCGGAAGAGCTGGCATCAGGGCAGAGCACCGCTGGTTTCTGTCCACAAGTCCCTGAGGTTTTTGGCATGGGAGGTGTGGATGGGAACGTGGTCCCAACACCTGGATCACAGGGCACAGATCCCCAACCGTCTAGCATGGGAGCCTCAATCATCCTGATATTGTCCCTTCAGCAAAGTGAGTGTCCGAGATATGGTGCAATCAGTCTCCCTCCTCAGCAGCAGCAGACATCACTGTGAGTGGGACAACCAGTACCACTCCCCAGCGACAGTACATACAACAGGGAGCAGATAGTTTCTTCATCCCCTCCCCAGCAAAAACGTGGTGCCTCAGGGGTGGATATTAGTAGTTGCCCTTCCCAGAAAGACCCTGGATATCTAAACTGGAGCTTGGGGCAGGAGACCCTCTGAAGCACTGCATCTTTTGGAAAAGGCCACCAGACTAACACAGACCCAGATCGATTGAAGGTCTGGGGTCTGGTTAGTCTCCCCAAGAGGGGGAAGATATGTGACAAATGCTCCTTACCCTGAATGTTTGCCACGCACTCTGGGAGGAGTGTGGAAGCTAGCCTCCTGCCCACCGACGATGGGCCATGTAAAAAGACCCTGTTCGGGAGTTAAATCTCCATTAGTAGCTTGCCCTGGGTTCTCGTGGTTCGGCACTTTTTCTTCATGCAAATATAACCGAACGCTATCTCTCTGGCAGCCGTTCACAGGAACCAAACCCACGAATAGCCCCAGCAGTACATAGCAGCGACTACTATGGAACTATTTTCGGCATTAGGACTTTGTGGGTTCCTGGTCACCTCAGCGGGACTTAGCCTGAAATGTTATGAAGCTGTTTTCGGCATAAGGTGACTGTGCAGTTCCCGGACAACTTGGTCCGTGGTTTTGAACCACTTTGAAATCCGCCAGGAGAGCGCATTTTAGAGGGAAGGTGACTGAGACTAAAGGGATCAAACGATACCTAAAAGCCAGCCGGAGCACCCCGTATTGCGGCCGCAGAAGCTCCCGAAAGTTGACCGGCAAAAGCACCAAACGCCATGGAACTGTTTTGGGCATAGGACCAAGTGTGCGGCCAGTCAGAAACTGTAACACGGTGGCGTATCCCCTACACTGCATGGATCTGAGCGCTATTTGGAGAACTTGGGCACTCAGATCAGGCCTATCTAACAATATAATTGTGACAAACTCCCCTTAACAAGTAAGCTCCTGGAGGAGCCTGCTTGTCAGCCTCCTGACCACAGACTATGGACCCTGTAAAATATAATATAAAAGTCTCTATTTGTGTATTTGGACTATATGGTTCGGGAACCGAAAAGCCGCATCAACCGGAGACCACCCTGGAGCTTGTTAAGCCTAATTGATACTTTGTAACAATTTCCACCCCAGTGTTCTAAGTGTTTGTCTGGGTGGCCACAGTTCCTATGGATGACCACTAGGTGGCAACCATCTTGTTTGCATGAACACAGGTAGCAGTGTTTAATCATCGAGTTCATGGAACTATTTTTGGACACTGAAACTCCTGAACACCGCTGGACTTCCATGATCCCCTGTGTTCGGTTCTACATCACTGTTTTGTGGAAACGTTCCCACGAACAAGGGAAACAAGCTCCAGGGTAAGAACATTGACTATGTTCGGTAGTTTGTTCGTTTTTTAAACTACCATAATAGAATGACCGCAAGCCTTGATACTCTGGAACTGTTTTGGGCATGGGACCATGCGTGTGGTCTGTCAAATTATAACTTCAAGGAAATTCCTGAATTCCTGAACCAATCTGGGTGATTTTTGGATATGTTGGTCACCCAGATCGGAGCTATCAGGGGATGTAACTTTTGTGGGGTTTTATGTATTTTTAAGGGTGTATTTTTTACACCCTATTTTTAAGATATGTGGTGTTTGGGAAATGTGTATTTTTTATACCTGGAGATAATTGAGTTTAATACAGTGCTTGACTCAATTATCTCCCAGGCACAGGGCAGGGATTATCTTGTTTTGTATGGGTCCTGGACCTGAGAGCCAATGTAATCATGTGTATGTTTTTACTGTAGTCTACTCTCAGGTCCAGGGGGGGAGTGCTACTTGCATGGGGACCTGCATATATGGCCAGTTGTGGCTGCCAATAAACGTATTCCAGCTTGTACTCCCAGAACTATGTGTCATTTGGTTACTGGGAGGGGAAAGGGCTATTCTTTAATCACTGTTCCAGTGTGGAGGATTCAACGGGGAAAGTCGGTGTAAGGACTAGAGCTCCCAGGACTGCGTGTTGTCCGGTGCCTGGAGGTGTCTAGAGCGAATTCCCCATTTGGCTCCAGGAGGGAGCAGTTCCAGGACCCCAGTCAAGCCACGGCGACTGTGGGCAGAAGTGTTGCAGTTTGTCCCC